TAGAGCCGAAGGATCTGTCCTAGGTTTCTGCCTTTTAACAGGCAGTTTTTCCTTGCCCTTGTCGCCAAGTGCTTGCTCATGGTGGTACTGTTGGGTCTCTGTAATTAATGTTTTAAAGAGTTCGGTCTAGACCTGCTCTATTTGAAAAGTGTCCTGAGATAACTTCTGTTATGAATTGGCGCTATACAAATAAAATTGAATTGAAATTGAATTGAATTGAAGATGGATGTGTCCAAATGTGAAGTCGAGCTGATCAGTTCCCTAGGAGGAGTTCGTTCAAATACAATGCGTGCAAATCGCCAGAAATGGCCGCTAAATCCAAAATGGCCGACTTCCTGTTGGGTTTGGGATATGGCTCCTCCTGTACATCTGGATAATATCTACGTGTGTGCCGATTTTTATGCTTATCGGTGAAAGGGGTCCCGGATGGTACAGTTTATGGGCCCCTGAGGGGCCATTTTGCCATGCTCATAGTGGAACCCCAGAAAATATGGAAATTTTTCGCCACGACTGACATGTGCACCGCGTTTCATGAGTTTCTGAGTGTTGTGGCCTCCAAAAATGCGATCGTTTGGGAGAAATAATAATAACGGATACAATAGGGCCTTCGCACGGTCAGTGCTCGGGCCTTAATACAGTTTTCTTTTGACAAAAGTGGTCCTGACTGAAATTTCACTTTGTATACAGATTCAACACACAAGATATATGTTAATCAGCGAGCTATAGTGGTGATGGTAAATTGTAATTTTGGACTTTGGACAGCGCCATTCTAGTTGCCTCCTGTCTTTATGCTAAGCTAGGATAACCACATCTTGACTGCGGCTCTGCACTTTGACACACAGACACTGACAGATTGATATTCATCATTTCAACTCACTCTCATAAAGAAAGAGAATAGCAGTATTATCTCAAACTTTACCTAACTAAAAGTTAGCTATTCTGGAGCTGTCAATACTGTCAGCAAACCCAAACAGCGACTCCCTCTATACACAACAAATAACCAGGATTGCCTATTGGTCTGATTGGGTGAACAAAATAAGATGCGATTCATCTTCAAGGCTGTCAGGGAGAAGCTTCTTTTTCCCATTCGTTCTGGACTGATTCAATAAAGCCTCGTATAGGCGGCCGAAAAAGCCTCTTTATTTGCTCTTAAATAAGACGTCGCCCAAGGCCCGAACCATTCAGCCTCGAGAAAAAGTGTTGTTTCTCTTTGGAAATTGCTGTAGGTAGAGTGTATTAGAGCCTGACTCATTCAGAAACAAGCTTGCAAGGTCATAAAGAAAAAGTTCAGACAGACAGTCCAGATACGTGTGGCAAATAAAACATGAATGTTTATGATGATAACACAGCACATCATGAGGGATATTTTTAAATGCAGCTACAACAACTGAGGAACACATTTATTTTGCTGCTTTGAGACCTTTGCCTCATCTATTCTGTTAAGTATCTTTCCTCCCACATGCTTGTCCATGTCTCACGAACATATTACTGTTGCATCAAGCAGAGAATTGTATCACTGTGAACATTCAGAAAGACAGCTCAATAAGAGGAGGTGGCAGGAGATTTTCTGATTTATGTGTTTCCCTCTTAATTAAAACAATGGCTAGCACTCTCTGTGGTCACATTATAGGCTTTGTCAATCATACCCATGCCAGAACACCTCTCCACCTGCTCACCTGTATCCCATTTTACCCTGTCAGTATTTATACTGTACCTGCCTGTCTGTCTGTACCTTTAACCTGCGCCATTCCTGTTTACCTGATTTTAATGTGGAAATTATACTTTTTTGCAGGTAAAAACATATCAGCAGATTGTTTGCATATGTTTTGATACATGTCTGGAAGGGAGCTTGGATCTCTGGAAGGGTTGGTACTTTTAAAATACAAAAAAACATTCCTTTGTCACGTATCTCCAGTGGTCTCATGAAATTCTTTTTTTTGCCTATGTTTTGAGACACGCTTTCTAGGGAGGAATTATCTCCAATGAAAACTGTTCTCAGCACATACTGTGGATTATTCACATCCATCAGGCCATCTGGAAAAAATATATTGAAAATAAAAACCATATTTCTCTGTTTTTTGCGGGGTGAATTCAATTCTGTTCCTGTCTATTGTATTGGGGTGGAGATAGAGGTCAAAGAGACAGATATCTAAAAAAAAACATGCACAAAGTCAAACTATCTGCACTGCACTAGCGGCGCCAGGATTTTGATTGTGGGTAGGCCTCCAGAAAACTGGATGGGCCAGTTAAAATAAGCCAAAAAAAAAACGGGTTCCCCTTCATCTCTGTTTCAGCGCTTTTCTGCAGCACTGAGGACAGCGACTCAGTGGCCTACCTGTGTGGCTCTTGTGTCGCTGTCCTCAGCTCAGTGCACATAAAACACTATCATAAGTTACCTCTGCCTACTGCCAATATTATTTTTCCCTCGAGAAAATGTGCATACAGACAGTCAGACACTAACGTTAACGTTAGCTTAACTGTTACTTGCCTTGCTGGTGTGAGGGGGTGGCTATGGGAGGACTTGATGGGGAGAGGGCGGCCAAGCTGGATCGTAACTGGGGTAGAAGCCGCTGATTGGCTGAGAAGCTTTCACTCAAAGCTTTCCTCAGGGTGCTTATTGGATGAACAGCTAGAATGAAAATCACTCACTACTCACTATAGCCCTGGGCCAAAATGGGTGGGCCCGGGCCTAAAATGGGTGGGCCCAATAGTAGCGCCGTGGGTGCTGCACTGTAAAACTAGATAAGCTCATTTAACTCTAAATTGTTGAAATTGATTACATCGGAAGTCTTAAGTAAAACTTACTCAATTTGAGTAAAAAAAATGTGTTTAAGTAACTTTAGTCATTTTAAGTGAAACTGATTTAATTATATATATTCAATTATAATAGCATGTTTATTTGTACTGTGAAAACAAAATGCCTAGTAAATAGTACTTAATCAGGAATGTTTCTTCAATTTACAAATTAATTTAAAAAATATATATTTTTTGAGTTTAAAATAACTGTATCACATTACAGTGTGCAAGGCTATAAAGCACTAGAGGGGAAATATGTTTGGGAGAACTTAACCTTGAATAAAATGTTTGACCCATGTAATTCACTTCAAACTCCATCTCAGAGTGTAGAAAACTGACTGAATTTAGGTGTACTGTAACTTCTATCTGTACATGCAGTCAATTAATTTAAATGATGTAAATAACTTGAAGCGTGCTTTGTTTTATGTTCTATGTATTGTTGTCCTTGTTTTTAAGTGGTTAATGTGTTTTTAGGAACTGTGCTTTGCTATGTGCACAGTATGGCAGTTCCTGTTTAATGTATTTTACTGGTCTCTTGTATCTGTCATCACAGACTGCAGGTGAAAATTAGTCAGGATGGCTAAACTGGCACATTTACAGAAATGTTCATTATGTACACTGCCATTATGAATAAATAAATAAAGATATTATATGATAGGTGCTATTATGAAAACAGGTTTGTAGTTTTTCCAGTACTGATGTTTAGCTATTTATTGTACTTTTATTTCTTCCTTTTTTTCTCCATGTTCCTTTCTAGAATTAGTTCAAAATGTATAGCTATGTTAAAAAAACTAAAGGGACATTGTGTAGTGTTTTAAGTATTTTTTTAGCTAAAATCAATATCTTCATTCATAAATGTGTCCTCATTGGTGTAAAATTACCTCTGCCAATGATCTGACTTATCCTCGTAAGCGAAGAATTTCTTCTCTGTATATACATTGGACGGCCAAGTCCATGGAGGCTTCCATGTTGTTCCGCCATTTTGAAAAACTATAATTGCCGAGAGGGACATAAAGCACTAGCCTACCTGTCTAGCTAATCCACAACACGTTTTCGTTCAGAGCCAGCGCCATGTGACTGAAACCAGCTATAACGGAGAAGGAGATCAGTGAAAGGCGCTTGGCTCTGCCTCGGCACATTTGAAAGTCTGCACTGCACTTTAGTTCATAATGGAGGATCATACTTATGCCGAGCCACAGGAGAAGGAATCCTTGTCGCCGAAAAAGCGAAAAAGGGAATTAAAAAGGCAACGTGAGCGGCAAATTCAAAAAACGAGGGTAAACATCGGGGTAGCTTTTCCCAGGTGGAAAGAGCTAATGAAGGAGAAAGACTTGCAAAGGGACGCTGAAGTTGCCTGCTTTCTCCTCGACAGGTAGGCTTCTTGGTACATAACGGCTACCGTAGTTGCAATACGCTTTTGAAAATGCGAGGCACTAGAGAGCACTATTCATTTGAATGCAAAATAGTTTCACCGCTAGATGGGAGAAATTCCTACACAATGTCCCTTTAACAAGTTTAACAAGAGTATTAAACTTAAATATTATTTAATAAAGTTATTTGTTTAACAAATCTGCCTTCTAAGGACCTTTGCAGAGTTACAGCAGTGCAAAATCTGTTTATTTTTATTCCAGCTCAAAAATCCACTCCATCACTGCTATATCGGTAGTCCCTATCGGTTATCAAATATTGGTTGGGCTCTATCAAATTCATCATCAAATGAAAACTGCCCTTGTTGCTCCCTGGGAATAAATCCTACCAAGGGACATGAAAACAGTAAGAAACAACTGCTTTAAAGCAGTTGCTGTTGTTTTCCTCTTCATTCCCTGTGCTTCTTTTTGACCTAATCTTGATTTGCTGTGCCGGCAGCACAGAGCATTAAACCACAGTCAAGTGGTGTAGAAGGATGAATAAAAAGGAAGTATACCGGAGGCATCTTCCAGCAAGACCTGAAGGCCCACTGAGGAGGCAGCACTGTCAGAAACTACAGTTGTTTTGTAGGACACTGCACGGCTCAGTGCGTCTGTAATGCATGTGCTCTCTGCCTGAAGCATACAGTGTTTACATCTGGAGCACACACACTATCTGCAAAAACACAACAGGCTCTCACACACACACACTGTTCTCGTGGAGAGTAACCTGAGGTGGTTTTAGAAGAATCTATAAGATGACCACTCACGCACGCGCACACATGCATAAAATCCTACCTTCACTGCCTCTATGTGAGTGACATTGTCAAACATCATCTCGTTCACGGCCACTATCTGGTCCCCGACCCTCAGTCCTTCCCTCTCGGCCGACGAGTCCGGCTCCACTAGGGACACGTAGATCCCCACGCCGTGCTCCGACCCCCCGCGGATGCTGAATCCTAACCCCTCGTGGCTCCTGGAGCGCGTCAGCGTAACTTGGCGCACTTCTCCAAAAGCACCCTCAAAGAACGGCGGGGCCATGGGCGCGGACAGCTCCGCGGCGGCGATGAAACCGTCCGGACAGCCCGAGCTGAGAGGCTGCTCATGGATGGAGCTGACATATTTCTGCAGAGTTGAGTCGCCCTCGTCTCCGAAGCCCTCCGCGCTGCCGTTGCTGGGGAGCAGGTCTGTCTTCAGGTAGAGCCCCTCGGACGTGTATTGGTCGAACAGCAACTGGTCGGACCTCGGGATGACCAGGCGCAGCATGGGCAGCAGCTGTCGTTTGCCGGGCGTGTTGAGAATCACTTTGAGAGTTTGGACCAGGTCGAAGACGTTGCGCTTGGCGTGGTACACATTGAGACAGTGGATGAACTGCTCTCTCTCCAGGTCGCTGAGCAGCAGGTTGAGAGCGTTGTGGAGCCGCCGGACGTTCGCAGAGAGCGCACGGCCGCCCGAGCCGGCCGAGTTCACCGATGTGTTGAGCGAAACGCGCTCCAGATCAGCGCTCATCCTACAACATAACGGGGAACCAGTGCATCATACAGAGCGGAGGACGAATCGGGCATTTGTTAAAGCACTGTTGAGGTTGACTCTCTCGTTTGAAAGCAAAACGGCTCACCGCGCATGGGGCAACTTCAACAGGTGACCGGTGATCTACGCGCGTAACGCTGCTGATGTGTCCCACACAAGCTGTGTGAACCCGAAACCATTCTCTTAGTCGGTGCTAGCATTCTTCTTGCACTGAACAAAGAATAAATGTTCTCAGATTCCTGCTGCTTTTGTTCCACGCGACAACAAAAGCTGTACCGTCCGCTGCCTCCACCGGGACGAGCGATTCGAATATTGTCCGGTGTAATAACTGACATTAAGATCCCTGGAACGCTCTGTTACTTACTGTAAATCATAAAATGGTGCATTATAATAACACATGGCCTCCTCTGTGTTTATTCTGTCCACAGAACAAACTCCAGAGTCTGTCGGGTTTCCACGGAGCCCTCTCTGCGCGCAACTGGCAGGGAGAGCTGATGCTCTCAGACCCTGTGTGTGTGTAGGAAATGACGCAGGTGTGTGTGTGTGTGTGTGTGTGTGTGTGTGCCAGTGTGTGTAAGTGTTGCTTAGAAACTGACAGCACTACTAACCCTTATTTAAATGCTTATTTTTGGCCAGGCATTAGCTGATGTCATACATTGTTGAGTGGAAGCAGGAATAGCACCAGTTAAAACTACAAATAACTCCACCAACCGCTGAAATGTCAGAATTCTCACATTTTATTACACAGTTTATTGGATAAAAAAGCAGGTGAATCAACACACACATAGGTGAAAATAAGAGCAAATGAATGCATTGCCTTGCGAGTTGTGTTGGTTGAGATGATAGTAGGTGTCTGCCTGCTAGCCTTTAAGCTGATCATGCTGCATTATAGCAAATGCCTCCCTGAGACTCCTTGTCATAACTAAAGCCTGAGGCTATTTTTAAACTGCTATTCCTAGAAGCCAAGAGTTGTCTTCCTCCTCATGACAGTGACGATCTTCCTCTGTGTGGCCCATTCACATAATCAGAAATGTTCCTGCCACGACAGGGTGCTGCCGAGGAGATGCAGCAACCCTGAGGAGGTGTTAGGTCAATGCTGTTAAATCACATAATTTACTGTATTTCTCATTGCGTCAATATGGTCTTGAGGCTCCTATAAAATGCTGCCACCCACTGTCTTTCATTTACTGGTTGAATGTGATTTTTAAAATCACATTATCATTGTGAAATGCCAAATACAAAATGTGTATAGTGGAGAAAATTGTAACATTCTTTGCTGATGCTTCACCTATCCCTCCATCGACTCACCCCCTACAGCTGTACAGTCAGTAATGCAGAGTGTTTTCAAGAATACACTGTAAAACCCCAATGAGTTCAGCTCAAACTGTTTGAGGTAACCGATCGCCTTAAAACATTGAAGTTTATTAATGCAAACAATTTAAGCAAGAAAAAAATATTTGATTTGATTGTACAAGTAACTCCAGTATTTGTTAAGGTGATTTGGGTCAAATAAGTTATTTTAACAATTCCATTCAGTTAACAGAACTTAAAAAGTATAAATAAGTTTATCACAGTCCTATGCAGCATTTCTCCAAACTTACTGAACTAATTTAAATGTATTTAAATAAAGTTGATAGAAAAGGGCTCCCTTAAACAAAAAGGTTGGGGACCACGGTTCTAAGGTAACAAAAACTTCTTCCTATTCTATTTTCAGGTGATTATACACTAATGAAAACATACAAATGAATATTATATTCAGTTTCTACCAATAGATCCTCCTTAATGTTACACCCTGGACCTTTAAATGGAAGACAAATATACCCAAACTGGTAACTAATTTATTTTTTAGCATGAAATGTTCACGTCTCCCTCAAACATCCAAGCATTGTCCCATTTATGCATATTGAAGGATCAGTGGGAGTGTATTATGTTTGTTGGGTGTTACACAAAGTACACAGGCATTACATTATAAATTGTAGTGTTGTCAGTGGGCACATTAATGCCTATTAAATAACAGAAGGTGGTTAAAGTCTTAAAGATTACATGTGTTAGCTCTCTCTCTCTCTCTCTCTCTCTCTCTCTCTCTCTCTCTCTTCTATCTATCTATCTCTCTTTCTGTCTTCCTTTCTTCCTCTCTCACCCACACACAAAGACAGACTTGTGCACAAGCTTTGCAGAGGGATCATTTTATAGAGCAGTCTCAGAATGTCCCAGTTTTGCTTTTGTTTGTTTGTTTTGTTGTTGTTGTTATGATCAGCTTTTTATTGAGACATATGTACAGAACAGAGAACTGCCAGTAGTAGAACTGTAAGGACAACTTTACAGTAGTTGAGAACACTGAAGATAAATAAATGAAGGTTCCCATCAAAACCCTGAGGCAGAAGTCCTCGGGGATATAGACAGCAAGTGAACATTTTGTCCTCAGAGTTGATGTGTTAGAAGCAGGAAAAATGGGCAGCGTGAGGATTTGAGCGACTTTAACAAGGCCCCATTGTGATGGCTAGACGACTGGGTCAGAGCATCTCCAAACCTTCAGCTCTTGTGGGGTGTTCCCGGTCTGCAGAGGTCAGTATCTATCAGAAGTGCTCCAAGGAAGGAAAAGAACCAGAGACAGGGTCATGGGGGTCCAAGGCTCATTGATGCACGTGGGGAGCGAAGGCTGGACGGTGTGGTCTGGTCAACAGACAAGCTACTGTAGCTCAAACTGCTGAAACAGTTAATGCTGGTTCTGATAGAAAGGTGTCAGACTTCAAATAAAAGCAGGGACCCAATTACAAGCAGGTCCCCTTTACTAGCCTGTTGTGGCTACACATTTTGACAAAAAAAGCCCTTGTCTGGATTTTATAGAAGTTCTTTCGAGATATAAAACCTCTTAAAGCTCCTGGGGTCGCTCAATTGAGCAAGTTCTAAGCTGCTACAAAAAGATAAGCCTACAAGAAAGCCTACAAAATAAATATATGTTTAAACTATTGTCAACATACACCAGATGTATTTTTTGTATATCAATTCACAACTGTGCCAAGAAGCCCCAACCAGTTCTCCAGTCTTTCTAGTATTACTCATTTTGGTTGAATTCAACACTAATATCCAATTAAAGCTGCAAGCAGCATTAGGTGGGACCTCACCATCGACCCACGTCAGGGCCTGCACGGTGGTCACCTGCCGCAGCCGCGCCACACCATGTCACCCCACGCCCAAGCCCTCATCACCGGAAGCCAAGGGAAACCGCTCTTCACTGTCACGCGTTTCAGACACTGTGCAGAAGACTCATGCATCCATAGCGAGACTCTTCACTGCACAACGTGGAAATTCAGCGCCATGCCACAGACACGCCGTTTGACGCACAGTAAATATTTGATTCACTTTTGATCACCAAGACAATCCCTTAGCCTTCGTCACGACTGAAGTTTCATGAGTTTTCGGGCATGTTTAGCCCCCCAATAAGTGTTCAAATGTCAACAGAAAAGCTGATTTCCGTCGCGTTGCCATGGCAACGTGGTTCCACGCTAATTCTCAAGATTCATAAGATGTCATCGTCATCGGCCTAAGGGACTTCTGACAGAATTACAGCTGGATCTGGTCAATCTGCTGGAAGATATACATAAAAGTGTAAAAATGACATCCTCCCTTTCACCACTAGGTTGCGCTCTCACGATTACTGAATATTATCACATAGATGAGTTCAGGGCGGGACTCTTATCAGACAAGTGAAGTTTGGAGCCGAATGGACAATGTACACTCAAGTTATAGCAACTTTGTGTGTTCTGGCGGTGCATCAAAATTTTATGCCACGCCACGGACACGCCCGTTAACAAACCGTCACCACAGTCATGAAATATCATCAACAACATGTTTTGCATTTCCTGACTAAATTTCAGATCTGATCATCCTGCTAGGAGTAGAACATGGAAATATAAAAAATGACATTTCCTTTCACCACTAGGTGGCGCTCTCACTATTACTGAATATTATCACATAGACGTGTTCAGGGCGCGACTCTTATCAAACGTGTTAAGTTTCGTTGAGATCGGATCATGTACACAGAAGTTATGACAAATCCCTTTTTCATGGCGAGTCGTTGAAATTCCACACCACGCCACATGTACGCTTCTAGACGGAATGTCGTAAATAGCACAACTTTTAATTGTAAATGTATTTAGATGGCTGTGTCCAAATCTGAGGCCCCAGATGGTACAGTTTATGGGCCCCTGAGGGGCAATTTTGCAATGCTCATAGTGGACCCCGAGAAAATATGAAATATTTCACCAGGCCTGACCACTTTGCCAAATAAAATTGACTGTTCGTATATGTTCAGGGGGACAAAAATGCAGTCAAAGGGGTGAAAAATAATAAGAAACATAGCAACCGCTAGCTCGGTTCCTAATGATACTGAGACTGCGCTACAGACTTGCTGTCTTGGAGTGGATGAGAACCCACAAGCATGACTCATTACCAATCAGGTAAATAACCAGTAAACCGGCTACATAGACACCACACACTGCTCAAGCGGCCTATGTGAATGAGGTAGAGGTACCAATTGATCCGTCCGAGTCCAGGGAATCAGGCAGAGGTTCAGACTGGAGGGATAAGGAATCAGGTAATAAAAGCTGGAAAGATTAGCCTAGCACAAGAGACAATTTGGCAGCAGGGCGAAGGATTGGGCCAGTATGTATGAGGCTGGATCTAATCAGAGGGAAGCGGGTGGGTGATTGGGTGAAAGGGAGAGCAAGAGGGAGTGGCATTCTAAAATGACACGAGTAAAAGCAAATGAATTAACTGAAGTATGAATACTGGAAGATCACTATTAGGGTTCATGACAGATGGTGAGCTCAGCGATATAAGAACCCGACTGTTTGCATACTGATTATCGGGTTGAGAAATATGGTGACATATACCATGAGACAATGTAACTGTGTCTACAGTCAGACACTTCCATACCAAGATTGCTCTCCCTTTATGTGTCTGGCTGTATCCAAACATTGTGGGCAATGCTCAGGACTGTTTCATGGTTATACAGGACACATTTCCATCTGGTTATTTTATATATAAGCTGTTCTTATCTATTATAATCTCAATTGCATTTCCTAAAATTGTACTGTACCACAATATACAGTATAGGGTATTGCTATATTCAATGACATATGTTATGATAGAAGATTTTATCCATATATCCCTCGTAGCTCCAAAACAGAAACCTTTAGTCGTATCTTAAATGATAAGAATGCCAACAGTTAATGTATTAAAAACTCTCACTTTGAGCTTTTAAAATAAATCTTCAGACTAAAAGGCTCATTCTTTATTATGCTTTGAAGGTAATGCTTTTTATGACTGCTTTAGTAACATTTGAGGATGTTCAAATCCAATAAAGAGAAAGAATATTTATCATATGCATTGGAATAAGGGCAGGCAGGTTTATTCGCATCCAAAACTCACTAAATACACATTCTGAGTCCCTCTGAGCTCTGTAGATTCTGATGTATTCACTGACTACCTTGAACTTCTTACACAGCCAAATAATAAATGCCCACCTTTATGCAGACACCTCCCAGAGA